TAAAGGAAAAAAAATCTTAAAAGAAGCCAAAAAAAAACCTTTACAGAGGAGCAAAGATAACAATTATATCTAATCTAGTCTCAGAAACTATGTGAGCAAGAAGAGAGTGGAGCGAAATATTTAAAGTGTTGAGAGAAAACCTCTTACAAACCTAGATTTCTATACCCTGCTAAATTATCCTTCAAGAGAAGAAATAGACTTTCTCAGACAAGTGAAAATTGAGGTAATTTATTGCCAGTAGACCTGCATTGCAAGAAATGTTAAAAGAAGTTCTTCAAAGAGAAGGAAAATGATATAGGACAGAAACAGATCTACCTAAAGAAAAGCACATGGGAGAATCAGAAAAGGTAAAATAAAAACTTTTATTGTTCTTATTCTTAATTGATCTAACAGGTAACAGTTGATTCAAAATAATAGGACAAATGTATTCGATTATGTATCTATGTGTATGTGTATTTATGTATAAATGAAATCAATGACAAAATGATACAGGGAATTAGAAATTTCATTATTATTGTAAGATACTTGCAGTACCCATGATATAATATAACATGTTTTGAAAGGGGAGTTAGATTAGTAAGAAATGTAAAGTGAAAACTCTTAAAATAAAACCACTTTAGAAAAGTAAAAAAATGAAGTATAATGGATATGCTAAGAAAGGAGAAAAAAGAGAATCATATAAAATGCTCAATCAAAACCACAAAAGGCATAAAAAGTGTGGAGGACAAAAACAGAAACAAAGAACAAGGGGGAAAAAAACAGTAACAAATATGGCAGATATTAATCCAATTATATCAATAATTACTTTAAACATCAATGGTCTAAATACACCAATTAAAAACAGAGATTGTTAGAGTGGATCGAAAAACAAAACCCAACTATGTATTGTGTAGGAGAAAGCCACTTTAAATGTAAAGACACACATAGATTAACATAATCTAACATAAATGAAAAGAAAGCAGAGTAAAATACTGGGTTGTCCGAAAAGTCATGACGTATTTTTCTATGTTTTTCATTGCAAAAATGCGTCATGACTTTTCTGACAACCCAATATATTGGTTTCAGATATAGCAGATTTCAGAGCAAGGAAATTTATCCAGGATATTGCATAATGATAAAGGGATGAATACTCCCAGATGACATAACAATCCTTAACGTACATGCACATTACAACAGAGCATCAAAATACATGAGGTAAAAACTGGAAGAACTTCTAGATTTAGATAAATCCACCATAAGAGACGTCAACACCTCTCTACCAGAAATGGACAGATCCAGCAGGCCGAAAACCAGCAACAATAGAGTTGAACTCAACTGTACCATTAACCAATCAACTGGATATACTTGATATTTATAAAACAGCTACATCCAACAATAGCTGATTACACATTCTTCTCAGCTCACACATAACAAACCAGTCCTGTACAAGATGTTGACAGTGGGGAAGGTTGTACAAGTGTGGGGGAAGCAGGTATATGGGAACTCTCTGTGAGTTCTGCTCAATTTTGATGTGCACATAAAACTGCTCTTAATAATTACGTGTATTAATCTTTTTTAAGAGGATCAATAAATGTGCCTAATAAATAATATGAGATCACTGAGTGTTTGCTAAGTATAATATTTTTTAACTGATGGTTTAAATTAAAAACAAAATAAAACAGAATAGACTGGAATAAATAAGATACAATTTAACAGGAATAAGAAGTGTAATCCTGCATTTAAGCTAATAAAAATCAGCTACCTGAGTGACAAATGCTAGGACCTAGAAATGGACAGAGGAATCCTGGGAGTTTTACTTGGCCAAGCTCAATGTAAGTTACCTGCCTGATG